CCCAAACCCAACCCCAACCCCAACCCCAAACCCATTACCAGGGAGGAGTAGTAATAGGAATTCATAATAGAGTTTCATTTAATAACATTACTGATAAGCTAAATGAAATTAAAAATTATTCATTTTGGAGAAAATGCAACTTTTTAAAAACTCTTTATTGATAATATAAATTGAAATATTTGAAGAGCTGCATTTTTAACTATTTAAAAAATTACATTATAAACACATTCTGTATTAAAAGCACTTAAAATAAATTTATATAAATAATCTTTAGAGCGTTAAAGTATGCACACTTTTAATCTTCTTAAATAATTGTTTTAATTTTAACAGAAAAAAACTGATTAAAAATCTAATATCTTTTTAACACTACGATTATTGAATTTATTATTAATAAAATAAAATCACATTATTTTTAATACTTTACAATCAGCTTATGGCTGATTTAATTGAACTTTTCAAATTAAAGACTAAAAGTAATGAGAACCATAATATATTTCAATTATCAATTATCAATTATAAATCAGACATTTTTTTTCAAAAGATTGCTAATTACGTGACTTTTTTGTAATTCAATAATTAATTTTTAAATATATCTAATTTTCGTTTAAAATGAATTGTAGGCTAATAATAAAATTCTTGTAGCTTATTAAGAACTCTTAAATAAATAATTAAATTATTCTATTATTTTAATGTAATCATAACAATGAAAATGTTTCAGACCCTTCTGTTATAGCAAGCTATAATTTTGCGATTAAAATGTCTTACTTTGAATAAGGAGGTAGATCCAATTAATAAGAACTATTATAGTTAAACCTATATAATACCATGTGTGCCCTACAGGAAATAGTTAATCGAAGTCTCTTTAGGCATAATTAAGTAATACAATTGAAAATTTATGTTTTGAATTCTTAAATCCTCCTATTGGCATCAAAGGCAAGGCTAAATATTAATATTACCTTACCAGTTATAAATTTTAAAAATTTTGCTAGTAAATCTTAGCTGAAATTCCTCAACGTATTTTATAACCATAGAATCACCTAATCAGTAGGAGTATAATCAACATACTCAAAATTTAGTATAAGATCTTCGACTAAGAAATTTATATTTAAATATTACCATCTATGTATGTTTAGCCACATAGTAATTATTCTAATTAAGTTGAATCAAAAATACTAATTTATTATTTTGGTATAACAGAATAAAACCCTTTTAAAAAGGATTGCATTTAATTTTCAATATTTTTTGCCATTATTTAATGACAATACTTTCTAATGAAATCTTTTTTATTTTGTTGGGTAACTTCGATAATTTATCCTCCCTGTATATGTTCTTCATCTGAAGGCAATCCTTAATTTAAAAATGAGTAATCAATCCCCCAATTTTCACTGAAATTATCATGGTAGATTAAATTTAATGATGCATATATTTCTTCATCATGATATTAAATGTCAAATATAGATAAA